TTGTGATCTACAACAATTCCAGGATCCTTGTCACTCATAGTATTATTAAGCCAAGTATCCCCCATTCTGTAACTGTGCATTTAGTTCTTTTCCCTAGGTGTAGAACTTTGCACTTATTCCTTATTTGTTCTTTTATTTTGTTTTGACCTCTAATTTTTCCACCACATTACCCCGATTAGTAGTAATCAAATCAAAGATAGCTAATCCTCTAGTTTCTTTCTGCACTTATTGCAGGAGAAAATTTTCAGCAACACAAGACAGGGATTTCTTGAAAGGGCAATATTTGGCAGAATTTCCCTCCCAACAGCTATCCAGATAACTGGAATTTTGCATTACTACATTGTCTCTCTTTGAAATGCTTGCAGTTTGGTTTTCAAAGGTTTCATCCGCATCCCTGCAGGTACATAACTAGGTACAACTTCCCTAGTTAATTAACTGCATGGCTTGCCCAGCTGGGTAAGAACTGATCCCCTTGCCCTATATGACTTCTGAAAAGAAACAGACCAAACAAACCAGCAGAGAACACAAGCTACATACCACTCTTTTCAGTTCTGAGCTGTTTCTCTTGCAAACAAACCCATATTTCTTCCATTCCTTTGCCACAAAATGAAATCAGTTTCTAGTTCTTCAGGCTGCTTGAAACAACACATCTCCTCTTTGCCAACGTCTGCAGGATTCAAATTACAGAAGAAAAGGTAGCAAATGGCTCGACATTGATAAGCCCCCACACCTAACTCCATCTAGATTTAGCCAAATGATAACACACACCCCACATGGTCTCTACTACAGTCTAAAATTGTTAGTAAACAAAAAAAATAGTGAGAGAATTGTCTCTAAATCTATCAACACAGTGTTCCTCTTATGGAGTTTTGCTCTTTAAGAAGTCTGATCTCATTTTCTCTCTCTTTCTTTTCCAGAAGGCGGCATGAAATTATGCTGAGGCCACAAGACATTATTAGGATGAGGCAAGGCAAGGGCAGCAGATGCAAAGTCCACGTTAAGTGTGACCCAGCAGTTTCTTTCTCAGGGTGCTATGGCTTGTAAGAGAGGAAAAATTAAAACACATTCAGCTCCCTTCATCTTACCTGTACTCTGGCTGCTTTGCCATCTTTGGCAGTAAGCCATGCCAATAGTGTGGAGTGGGGGATTCACCCAGACAATCAACAAACACCAGGTACCCATTCTGAAGTGTACTGTCACCCCTCAACTGATCCAGTTGCATTCCCTCTCCATCCTTCCAACCAACAAGACAGAGAGCCATTACTGCTTCCCTGTAAATCTTGCACATATCTAAATATTTATACTGCAAAAGAAGTTATGAATTGCTGGCTTGTGAAGTGCAGCCAATCTTCATTCTAGCACAGACGTGTGGGGGGGGAGGAGGACAAAGTAGCCTGTTTGTGCACAAGCCTCTAAAGTGTGCTGCTGTTGTCCTTGACACAGCTCCACATCTCAATGCAGATACTGTATGATAAATGCATATGCCTGCAGGTAGTGGGGGAGGCACTATTACATTTACCACCATAATCATGCCTTCCGAGCTTCTAATACCCACATGTTAATGACTCCCCAGGGACCTATGTGTGTCTATCCCAACTCAAATTATGCAAGTCACATGCTAATACTTTTGCTGTAGAAAGATTTTCAGATTCTGACATAGAGATCAGACCTTGGAAATGTTACCATTTCTGGACAGCAATTTTCAAAATTCCCCATTTAGCATGACAGCTAGCCCAGTTGGCTGGGAACACTATGGGGAGAGGTAGTCCAAAGAAGCAACCTCTTCTGAACTCTGATTGAGATGGAGATAATAAGAGGAGAGATTCACTGCCCAGGATGCAACTCAGTTTTTTAATCAGTCAGTCTGAGATGGAGATAATAAGAGGAGAGAGGAGAGATTCACTGCCCGGGATGCAACTCAGTTTTTTAATCAGTCAGTTTTTTAATCTAGACTAAGCAAGAGACAGGGGCATTCCATGCATATATTGATCACAACTGTGCTGCATAGTGCAAAACAAATGGTAACTTTCCATTAATTTCTTCCACTGAACAAATCACTCCTGCAGCAAATTTAAGAAGGACATGTGCACACTGGCTTGGTCCATCTGTGTACGTGCCCTGAGAATTGTAGTGGGGATATTTTGTTTATTAGGCAGGAACAGAGTGGAAGTTATGATTTACCTTATGCTAAGCAATAAGATTTTAGCCAGTGTGTTGCAATTTCCTCAACCACATCAGCTCTGAAAGTGTCTTGCATGTTCCCCCATCTCAAACAAATCCAGAGCTGCCTTTCCCCGTGTCCCTTAATTCATGCCCACTACAGTCTCATTATTCTTCAGTCAGATTTGTCTTTGAGACGCCCACAGGCTCAAGAAGAACAGCAGCAGAGTTGGCACCACCCCAACATTAACAGAGACAAAATGAAGTTTATACTGCTCAGATGTCTAGAGTGTTTCATCTAAAGAACACAACCGGGAAGGAACTCTACGTCAATGGCTTTCAAATTCTATTCCAACAGAACTCTAGGGTTCCTTGGAAGTTTATCCTTGCATTGCTAAGAATGAGAACACCAGCAGTGACAGGCAGGTTTTTCTGAAAAAGGCTGCTTCGCCAATATCCACCATTATGTTCCCCACATCACTCAACCTCTGGAAGATTGGGGGGGGGGAAATACCTAAGAAGCACAGGCTGGTATACTGTAACCTTTAATAGTGGTGCCCTCCATGCAGTCAGAATTTCAGTTCCTAGGATCCTTCTCTCATATGATATACTGGTGTCAAAAAATCCCTTTGTCTTGTCACTTGACTATTTAGGAATGGTCTCTTTAAAGAACCATAGGAATAAATGTGTTTTCTTTAATCATCTTCACTCTCTTCCTATTTTGCTACCACAAACCTTTCATTGCCCCCATAAATGTATACTTTCCTCTTCACTTAGTCCTTCATAACATTGTCCACATACCCATCCCGCAGATACTGAACTCCACACCATTCTGCTTATATTAGTTTAATGACTGTACTGTATTAAAATAGCAGTGTTTTAAATTAATTCAATGCAGTTCTACATTCTCTCTTTCACCTCTCACCCCCTCAAGTTCCCATCTCTTTCAATAAAAACCACCTTCAACTTGACCATATGGCTCTAAAAACCTAACCTCTCCCCTCACATACTTAAGAAAACCAAAGCATTTCAAAACTATACCCTTACCATTACCAACAATGCACTGAAACATAACCAGACACCACATGAGAGGAAAAGAAAGCCTTTCTCTTAGCTATAGTTTCCTACGATAAAGTGTCTTTCCTCAACCCACATACTTTGCCTAGCCAAAGAGACTCACAGCTATCCATTACACACCAGCTGGGTCTCTCCATACATCGTGGATGTAAGACAGCAAGTGACTTAACCCAAACATCCTCCTACCATGGAGGAGCCAGTCATCCTAACAACATGAGGTGCTCCTTTCAGCAAGCCACTTCTTCTTAAGAATGAATTACTCTCCAAAAAGAGAAAGAGATAGCTTGGTTTGAAAGGTGGCTTCATGGTCCAGGAAAGCATTCCCAAAGCTGAGATAGCCCACAGAGTAGGCATGAGAAGACTTTAATTGAAATCACATACCTCAACAGGAGGGCCTAAATGACATGCTACTCAAACATGCACAACCAAACATTGGCAGCCATTTTACATTTGTGGGGATGGTGTCACATTCTTGGGGGTTACAACAGCAGAGTCCAATAAGCCAGTCCTATATCAGAAATTCAGAGAATGCAGAGCTGATATCCAAATACCAATGCCAACTTACACAACATAGTCCAGGGTCAGAGTCCAAAGCCAAGGGTCCAGAGAACAAGGTACAAGATAGGAGCGTGGATGGAAGCCAGAGGTTTGATTTGTTGCTTCCATGGGCCTTTCAGTCCTCTGAGAGTTGTTTATATAGTAAAACAGCCCCTTGAACTGCTGGAAGCCTTTTCATCCTGTCAGAACTCAGGGCTAGTTGATTGGATGTTTCTGCGGGCAGCCTTCAAGCGATCCTCTGACCTTTTCCTCATAAGTCTTCCCCTCAGCCTGGCCCTCAGCCTATCTACTGTGGGAGGAGAATCTGGAGGCAATTCAGCTGTTTGTGTTTCTAATCACTCAGCATTCTCCTCAGCTACAGTTAACCTTTCAGGTTCTGGATCTTCAGCGGCACTCATGACAGGTGGGGAGTGGGGAACCACTTTTGAGAAAAGCACTTCTTGCAGGCTTAGAGATGGATGTGGGATTTTCCTTGAGCCTTGGACTTGGGAACTCAGAAGAAGGCAGTTTAAACCAGAGAAGTAGTGAGGGAAAGAAAATGTGTTCAACCTTTTCCTTGTGTTTCTCACTTGATCTGCTTCTTCCTCCCGCTTTGACTGTCTCTTTTTCTGCTTCCAGACAGCATACATTTGTGTGTGTATGTGTGTGCATGCACATGCATGCAGACCTTGCCAGGTAGTGATCTGAGGAGGTGTTTGAGCAGACCATATGATCCAGTTATTGGTGCTTGGACTGGTAATCAGGCACTGCATTTGAAGAAGGCCTAAGAATTTTGGGAGTGGACTTAATATCCAGGCAATGTCTGCATCTGCCCCCAATCGTATCTGATCTCAAGGCCAAGAACATCATGTGGGATCTCAGAAATACTTAGAAATAGTGTCACTACTGCTTTTGGGTGTCTACAAATCCATTTCCAAGAGCCTCCACCCTTCTCATGGGCTTAGAGAAGGGTGTGGGCTTTTCCTTGAGACGTGAATTTGGGGACCTAGAAAAGCTGTTTTCTGGGTGCCACAAAAATCCAGACTGAAGTCAGATGGGAAAACCCCCACTTATTTCACCACACCAAAAATATGTGCTAGACAGACCACTGTGCCTTCTTTCCTTCCTTCCTTTCCCCCTCCCTGCACCCCCAAAGAACAGGCAATAAAAAAAGCAGCTAGTAGTTGCCTAGCAACAAATATAAACATACAGGCCGCCTTTTCCTTTACTAAAGAACTGTTAAGTGTTTTGTTGGCCTACTCAAAGCTGGCCAAAAAATGGGAAGGGGGGGATGAGAGAGGCAGCAAAAACCACTATGAGAGCATTTGGGATCAGAGGCTCACACTTTTTTTTCTAATAGGAATCTTGTGCCAGAAAAGCTTCAGGGTAGGGCTGAAACTCTAACAGAAGCATCTTCTTTTCCAGGGAAAGCTGCACCTGTTGAATTTCTATCCAGCATTCAGCTGCTTAAGATGGGAGAGCTTCACCAACCCAGAAAAGCAAGTGGGAACTATCTTGGATTTTTTGCCACTTGCTAGCCCATGTGTCAGATTATCTGAGAATTGAGGAAAAGTTGACAGGAGAAAACGTAATTTCGTAACTGAAGCAAAATGGGCACAGAAGCGATAGCTTAACATCCATCCTCCTCCTGTGGGTGGCCATTGTGTCTCCGGCTTTTCTTCTTTGTGACTGAAGATTCAGTACAAACAAATCCCAAAGGAACTGCTGTCGGCACACGGATATCATATACAACACACAGCAGGGCTTCTCAGCCGAGGATAATTTGCCTTTAAAAATCATAAGCCATCACACAGCACCCTGAGCATGATGCAAATGTGTACTGTGACAAACTCAATCATAGTATACAGTAGGGATAATTATAGCAGGATCCTTTAACATCTCTAGCAGACCCAAGGAAATGTAATTGCCTTATAAAGGCTTTGGCAGCCCTGTCCTTTTGGGGGCTCCTTGCAAGGGGGCTGGCTGGCTGGCTGCTCTGCCAGGTTCTTGATTCTTGACTATGGAACTGCAAGGATTAGTGTAAAAATCACTCCCAATATCTGATCTTTCCCTGTTCAGACAGAGGAATGGGCCAGAGGAAGAAATGTTCCTGTTCTAGATGCTTGAAGGAGAGGGACACACCTTTCCCTGGCCGTTCTAGTTTACTGCTGTCACGCTGCCAGTGGATGAAAATGCATTCCCACTATTGATCCAGAGAAGTTAACTAGAACTCTTTATCCATCTGCTCCTTTTAAAACATCTTACTCTTTTATTGTATTTTTATTGTCACTACTAGCTGTCTTGGGTGCTATATGCAGAGTTGCAGAACGGAAAGTGGAAACAACATAAAAAATTTTGAGAAATCAAAAAAGAGATGCGAGCTGTTCCTTGTTTTTCATCTTCCTACCCTTCCATATCTCCAAATGGACATCATCTTAGAAATTCATCCACCAAACTATGGAAATCCTCACCATGTACAAGTGTCAGAGCTCTTTTATAAAGCTCCTATGGGGTAAGTTCTTCGTCAAAACATGTAGCTACATTTATGTAAACTTGTAGATCCATCCTCTTCATGTTAATTCAGTGGTCCCATTGGATTTGTGAGAACTTTCCTCCGGGTAAAATGTTGCTAAATCTGCATCTTAATTAATTTTATAGAACTCTCTTTGTTATGAATCAAGAGTTTCATAAGAAAAGATAGTCAAATCTTTTTGTCAACATCAATGTCAACATCAGTCTTGAGAAGGTGGAACAGAGTAAGGTCAGCGATAGTCAAATCTCTGTCCCAAGATACTTACAATGTCAACATCAATCTTGAGAAGGTGGAACAGAGTAAGGTCAGGGTCAAACAGTAAAGTTAACACAAGATACAAAGCAGCTATACAGAACAAGTATTTGCTTCAGATTAGGAAAAAGAAGGGATTTGGCCAAAGAAAGCTTAACACACTACAGTACCTGAAACAGAAAAGGCAGGTCAACCAGTGATGTACATTCTCCGTATCACATTCACCACAACAAAAAAACTCTCTGCAAAAGAGAATTGCTACAGAAAGCAACTACATGGGTAGATAGGGTCTGCACAGTCCCCTAGTGACAGCCTGATGTAAAATAAGTTTTTATTGTTTAAGAGTCACCAGTGATGTAAAGCATCCCCAAGTGTAAAAGGGATCTAGATTAGAAAGTAGCAATTCCTGTCTTCCTGTACAAGGATCATTGACCTGGATCCTTACAAACTGTTTACATACACAAAGAGAAAGAAAGAGAGAGAGAGGCACACAAGTAAATATCAAATTAGGCATATAACAAATTCATTGGCATTATTCCTTGAACATCCCTGGACATGATGTCAGCTGCGGTGGGGAGACACTGTAGTATAATCAGAGAAGGCATGCTCACTGCTCAGTCCTCAAAATGAGAACAGACCATCTACTGTTCTATATATCTCACATGAGAAAAAGGTACTGCCCATCTCATTCATAAACTTTTTCTTCGGCCTTTGAAGTCAGATCTTGCCACATATCACATGTTACTTTTATTAGTCAGAAAGTGCATTTCTGGTAATCAGCAAGTTATGGTTCAAATGCTTTTCAGTCTAGCCACATGCTCCTGGAAGCTGTTGTGTATATATCAGACCTTTTATTCCTGCACCCCATGCAAAAAATAGTAACACTGAAAGCAGCTCCAACCAGTTCTTCATAATTATACAATGAGTTGGACCTAAGGGAGAGGATAGCTGGCTGAGCATTTGGGCTGACCTACCAAAGACTCTGAAAGGCTTGTGCGTTCAGTTCTGGAAACTCACACTTAACAGCTGCACTGGTATATCAGTGGAATGGAATACTTGATTTTTGCAGAACCACTTCTCCTGTGCATAACCTCCTGCATCTATAACACAGAACAGGATTGCACAAGGGTATTAGACAGAGCCACGTCCCACACCAGTACCTATAGATTATTTCTCTGCTTGCTCCAGAAGTGCTTGTGCCAGGTCAACAGCTTCCTAGTCCATGAGATTCCAAGACAAAAGCTGCAGCCATGGAGTGAGGCATTGTCACAGAAGCTGGGCTTCTGGATAACAACTGCAAAATTTTATGTGTCCTTCTGTGCATGATAACATTAGATAGATAATGCACTACTTTATCAACAAATATAAGCATCAAAAACTTTTCTGCTGAAACACTGGATCCTGGCACCATTGGGCATGGGACAGAGATGAGTACCAAGGCACTGAAGCCAGGTCCCCCTTGTTTGTCTTTCTGGCAGTCCAGGGTATCCACAAAGCTCTCTTCCAGCACCACTGCACTTTACCAGCATTACTGAGAACTTCCCAGTGAATAAAACCAAATGGAATGAAACTGAGGAAGTATGATGGCAATATGAATTTCATGTCAGTCAAGAGCCAAACATTTGCTATAATAACCCAAGGCCAAGGAACTTATTGGCCTCCAGATGTTTTGAAGTCTGATTCTCAGAAGTCCCAGGCAGTTTGGTTAATGGTAGAAGATTGAAGGGATGTGGTGGCGCTGCGGGCTAAACCACAGAAGCCTTTGTGTGCTGCAGGGTCAGAAGATCAGCAGTTGTAAGATCGAATCCATGCGATGGAGTGAGCTCCCGTCACTTTGTCCCAGCTCCTCGCCAACCTAGGAGTTCGAAAGGATGTAAATGCGGGTAGATAAATAGGTACCACCTTGGTGGGAAGGTAAACAGTGTTCCATGTATAGCCGCACTGGCCACGTGACAACGGAAACTGTCTTCGGACAAACGCTGGCTCTATGGCTTGGAAACGGGGATGTGCACCACCCCCTAGAGTCAAACACGACTGACTAAAATGTCAAGGGGAACCTTTACCTTTACTAGATTATACGAACCATTGACCAAAGTATTTGGAGGACCAGAAGTTCACCTACACTGGCGTTAACTGGAGATAACATGTAACTTGTCATATTCCTGTGTCTGGGTGTATCGGAAATATTTTCCCTCCTCATATCTATCAAAGAGATCCAGGGGAAAAATATCAACTCCCAAACATTGTTTATACTGATGCACAGTGCCACCTTGGGTCCCTGAACTGGAAGAGAGGCAGGGTATAAAATAAATAAAATGACTAAATATTAAATCATTTTAAACTGTGGACATTAACGTGTTTATGCATAATATTAAGATTTGCACTAATTCTTAGAATCTTAATCTGATGTTTAGAATATAATGCAAACATATTAATAATGAAAAGAAAAGTTGGGGAATAGGGTGGAGGAGAAGAAGGAAGCAAAGAGCAATCCTTTGGGAAAGGGGACAGAAAATCAGTCTTTCTTTTATCTGAAACCAATGTTTAGCAAAAAAATGAATGAACTCATTCCTTTTCTTCTTCCAAACAGGGTACAGTACTTGGAACAATGAGATATCTCATTTCCCCCCCCCCACAGCAAATTCCCCAAAGGTCCACAGTTCACAGAAAAGGTGAACTTTATCTGTCTGCTCTTACCACACAGATTACCAGAAGGAAAACTGAGGAACAACAGGGGCAAGCAGCTAAGTTTGCATTGATGCATCAGTTCAGACAGCTGTTATTTTTTCTATCAATTTTGGCAGTAAATATTTGTGGCAGCCTGTTAACTTTCCCCTCTTTTGACTTGAAATGACTCCTATTATGTTCGGAGTAATTACTGTTTCCACAAAGCTCAGTGCATGAGCCACAAGACAATGCGTTTTGAATTCTAGTAAGGAGGAAAGAGCTCTCTCTCCCCATTCTGTTTCTTTAGCTGCCAAGATCTCTGGCCAAGGTGAGGGCACTCAGGAAAAAATGAGCAGCTCCAAAGTGAGCAGGTGGGAAGTTGGAGGCTGATCTCCTGGCAGTGACAGTCTAGTCCCAAGTTCCCACTTGGCCAGGAAGTCTGTATTGGTTTGTGTGACAACAACACTGCTGAACATCCCATTCTCTTACTAATATGTGATATATCTGCCTTTTTCACTTTGCTAAGTAAAATTTCCAAGCTAGCTTCTGAAATACATATCCCAGCAAAGGCAACACATGTGTGTGTGCATGTGCATGCACATGCACAAACACACACACATACACAAACACATGGGGGATGGTAGGAAAGGGAGAACAGCTTTGAATTTGCATCACTAAAATAGGAAAACATGATGAGAAGCTAGTGCTGGAGGAGCTGCTTTCCCTCCTCGGGCTTGTTGTGCAAAAGCCTCCACTTGGGCTTCCAGTGTTTGCAATGCAGCACACGCTCTCCCCTCTCTCATTTTCTGGGAAAGCAGGGTAGTCCTGCTTTGCAGATGATGTTCCTCCCATCTCCGGCCGCCTGCTCTCAACTGCTAGGGAGAAAAACAAGTGGATTTCCTCCACTCAGACACAATAAGCAATTCTACCACACTGGCACTGAGCAAGTGGAAAGCAGAGTTGGCTCAAAACACTGATATCCCTAAGATTAACAACCCTAGCCACAGATCTCTTTGGGTGGTGGTGGTGTCAGGATCTCCCTCCCTCCAAAACATGGCATGAATGGGAGCTATATTCTCAACTTGTTTTGCTGAGGGTTACATAAAGAAACATTCCCATAGGTCTCCTTGTCTCTCAGTCTTGTATCATTAGTAGCACCCCACCTGAAGCAACCTTCCTGTTAAGGCTGCGTCTGCAAGGAAGCATGTTTGAGGATTTTAGAAGAAGACAAAAGTTCATGAACCCATACCAGCTCTGAGAGCACGGGGAAACAGAATGAATCCAACAGCAATGAGTGAATAAACAAAAAAGGCAACTTGTGACTCTTCCAGATGAAAGGCTCCTACAAATCACATGAAATTGTGTGACTATTCTGTATTTTTCCTCTCAAGGCATGAATGGGGAATGTGTGGCCCTCCAGATATAGCTGGAGTGCAACTTCCATCATTGCTCACCAATGGCTATGGTGATGATAGGCCACAAAGTGCCCAGCCATACCTCCCTCCCTCCCTTCTTCCTCTTTTCCTTTGGAGGAAGAACATAACTGAAGAAGCCATGAGGAAACATGAAGGGTTACCAGTAGAACATTACAACATTGAGACCTATGTCAAGTTTAATGAATAAGCGAGATGATTCACAATGAAAGTTATCTGGCTTAAAACCTTGCTCAGAAGAACGGGAGTGAACTCAGAAGCAAGGAAGGGAAGGGAAGTCCTTGTCAAAGCCCAGACCATAACGCCAGGAGTCTGTAGGAGTCCATAGGAAGGGCAGTGGCAGTCCATGTGCCTCTTCTTGCTGGTGGGCTGTAAGGCCCAGCAGCCAACAGGAATAAGTAGATCTTGAAGCAAATGTGGGTATTTACGCATGCACACTCATGCAGACAAGTGAGCAAGAGAGCTTCATACATACACATACCTAAAGAAGCAGCAAGGCATTCCCTCAAGACATTGCTTTACCCTTACCCGCAATAATAAGGGTACCCAGTGTGGTGTAGTGGGCAGAGGCACAGACTAGAACTCAAGAAGCCTCAGGTTCAAATCCCCATTTGGCCATGGAAACAGCCTCGGGTTCAAATCCCAATGGAAACTCACTGGGGGTGTGGAACTGATAAAACCACTCCTTAAATGTTTGACTTGCCTTGAAGGCCCTATTAGGATCCCTGTAAGTCAGTTCTGACTTGATGGCATGTAATAACAAACCCCAATAATCAACCACTGAACAGCTCAAGAAGAGAAAAATGCCTCTTGCCCCCCACCCCAATTAGAAATGTTCCTAATATTTTGGGGGGGGAGTCTGAGGTGGGGCAGGCAGGACCTCCTTTGTCTTAAAGGACTACTCCTAAGGATGGACTTATCACCTAGCTGCCTGGATGGTTGGGAACATTGGCCTGAGTGCCCCCACTCCCGCCTGACTAAAATGTCTGTGGCCAGATTTTTCCACAGGGTACATCTAGGAAACCTGACTTGCTAGAAACCACATGTCCCAAAAATATGCACTTGGGGTGTTTTAGATACCCACACACCCCACAACTAGGTGCCTCTCTACTGGGTGCAGCAACCAGCCCAGAGAACATCTGCCTGGCTTCCTTAGAGCAGTATCCAGACTCCACTCCACATGTGTGACAAACAGGGAACCCACAAGGTCTCTAGGTGCCGCTCTGCATACTCAAGCAGCCCCGGATTCCTCGCCAATGTTTTCTGGCATTCCCACACAAAACTCCACTTAGGCAGGCCGTCAAATGCTCAAACAGGCACCCTGAGGAGGAGGAAATCCCCGTCTCTTCTATCCAACAGATTTGTGAGATTCCAGAAAACAAATAATCCACATCGCCTAGATTTGACTCGAGGCACCACGACCTGACACGTGTGTGTGGGGGAGATTTTTTACAGACGTCCGAAGTACACGCACGCACAAACCAAGAGGCCGATCCTTTCCGGCCTCCCAGCTTGCGAACACCTCAGCCAAGGGATCGCGCTTCAAAGCGCGGGGAAAGTCCGGTCCGCGCTGAAATGTTCAGAGAAGGGTGCTCAGTCCTCGGCCACGGCGCTGCAACGCCTGTACACAGTCAACGGAACAGCCCTGGACGCGAATAGTCACTCATGTACATTCACACGCTCGCAGGGGGGCGGCGGCGGAGAACATCGCTCGCGTACACACATCCACACGCGAACGCGTGCTGAGGACAGCAGGCATCGCCAGCCCAGCAATCCCGCAGAGGCCAGAGTCCCTGCAGCAATGTTCGCCTGGCGGGGAAAAAAAAGGCAGCATACTCCCTTGGAAAACCCCATAAAGACAGGGGTAAACAAATCATGACCGATCGCGTTTCCACGAGCTGGCGTTTTGGTGCAGGAACGGTACGGGCACCGAACCATCGGATCCATTTCCCACTCACCCCCACCCATCCCCATCCACTTTCCGGGTGCGGGTCGTGGAGTCCTGGAGCAAATGAGAGTGTGGGGAGGGACAAGAGAGCCGGCGGGCAGGCGGAGGCGGGGGAAGCCACCCAGAGAGTCAAGCTTCCAAACACATCGCGGCAGATGCTCTCTGCAGCAAGCCCGCGTCCCAGCGAGGCTGCTTCGCCTCTGCAGCCAGAGGGGGTGGGGGTGGGGGACATGGGCAGCGAGCGAGCGAGAGACGCCTTGCGGTGCCTTACCTTGCGGGACGCCCGAGGATCCCCCGCGACGCTGGGCGCAAACCAGGGCTGTCCGGGTCCGTCTTCCGCCGAGCGTGCCTTTGGAGCGCGCCAGCCAGAGGCCCCCATTCGTTGGCGAGGCCGACGCCTTTTGTTGTTGTTGTTTTTTTCTGGCGTCGTGTGGACGCGACTCGAGGCGGCAGCGGCGGCTCTGACGGCTCTCCCGCGGGCGTGAGAAGTGGGGGAGCCCCGCCCCGCCCCCGCCGAGTGGCTTCGCGGACGGGCGTGACGGGGAGGGGGGCGAAAGAAGCGGCGGCGGCGAGGGGGGGAGAGAGAGAGAAGTCTGGCGGACGCCGCGTGTGCGCGCCTTTGTGGTTCTCTCACGCTGCAGTCAAAAGGCTGAGCTTCGGGGTAGCAGGGGTGCTCGCAGCTCCGGGGAGGCGACGCGGGAGCCAGTGCCGGGCTCGGTTTCACTTTCCGGCGCCTCCAAGGGAGAAGCGCAATCCCGGGCGAAGGAGGCAGGGCTGGCCGGCGCGGAAGAACGCCTGGCCGCGCACCTGGAGCGGAGGTTCGCGCGAGGAAGGCGCACGGATTCGTCTGCGGGCGAAGGGAGAGAGCCTTTCGTCCCGCTTTTCCTGAGGGCGATTCATTCGGGGATTTCAGCTCAGCGCCCGCCCGCAGGGAGAAAGCCTCAGCCTCTGGGCATGTGGAAAGTGACTTCCTCTGAGGGAAGGAGCTGTATTTCGACATGTATCTACACGCGTGTTTTTAATACGCCTCATCCAGACGTTGAAGAAGGGAAGCCAGCAGTGCCCCCACAGTTACAGCGGCCTTGAACAGGGCCAGCATTACCATTAGGCCACCGCCTCAGGCAGCACATGCTTCGGGGCAGCAGGGGAAACCCCCTGGCAGAGTGTGTGCCACGTGACTTGACTTCCCTCCCCCCCCCCCCCCCCCNTCCCCAAGGGAAGATCCGATCCATGTTGCAAGTCCTGAGGGAAGGTTTCCCCCTTTACTCTAATGCATTTTTTAATTTCCAAAACAAATAGGAGAATACAAAATGCTTACTAATGCAATCTAAAATACAGTGCACCCACAGGACTCTTTGAAGCAATACTTTTATGACGAACCTCCCTTCCAAAATTGTATTGATTGTTGCTTAGAGGCTTTCCCCTTTCCTTTCACTAATACAAATTCAATAAATCTACCCCAAATAGCATAAAAATATTAAAACTTAATTCCCCTCTGTTCATCCTAAGTTCAGTAGTCAATTTATCATTTATCATACTCTAGTTTCTCTTCAGTTCATATAAATCTTTTGCCTTTTATTCC